GTGCCTTTCATATCAATCAACAACACTGATGCCCTCAATTCAGCCTTTGATAGTAATCCCTGTTGGCTTAGAGTTTGGGAGCTTTTTGCTTCTTCCAGTTATTTCCAGTTTGAAATTCAGAATTGTCTATCCTGCTCCTCTATCCAGAACTGTTGATTGTGAAGAAAATGATGGAAGTGAATTACAAATTATTTCATTTATTCACTAAATGTTTTCCTAAGAGCCCACTCACAATGATATTGTGCAAACACAGTGACACCCACAGGTAAAAATCTTTTGAATGTTACATATCCCTTTAGAGCCAATTGACAATCAATGAATGAAAATAACTTATTCATATGTAAACTCAGATACAGCACATTGCTTTTGAGAGTAAGGTTCATTGTGCATTCTGATTTGGATCAAGTAGTTGCCATTTGTTTCACAGCTGGTATCTTCCCTACCATTACTCTCAGACCAGATACTTCCTTCTCATGATGTCTTTAGTCACGGGCTCAATTATGTTGCTCCAGGTAATGTACTCCCCTTCCTGTAATTTCTGGGTCTGTCTGCCACATGTCACAAGCACAGCTAAATATACTGTAAAGCTTTTAGTACACATCATAATAACATGGGGCCCAATAATAATTAAAGAATGCTAGCACTTATGTGCAGGTAATATCTGATTTCAGAGGACAATCTACATTTTATTCAATCTTTGCCTTTTTGAAAAAGAAGTCATCTATATTTTACATTGTAAATTTGTAGTTTATATAGTAACGCTAGGGAAACATTTCGTCCATGTTGCATAAAGAAAACAAACAAGACTGTGTGTTATCCACCGTTGATAATTTTGTCTTCCTTTCAGTGGATTATTAAATACTTCAGTGAAGTATTAAATAATACTTCAATGAAATTTAACTTATAAGGTATTTGGATATTCTGGGAAAACTTTTTAATTTATTATTCTCTATTGGTCTAACTATTGATTTCAACTAGAAAAGGACAGCTACTCATTTAATTTCTCTAAAGGTCTGCTTATCATAAATTCAGTTTTCTACCATTTTAAACTTTTTTATCTTTTAAATATATTTATTAAATGTATATATGTATGTTAAATATTTTTACTGTGCATACATCCAGTATCACCCCTATAACCCCAGTAAGCCCTGAGTATTTACAGTTTTATTTGAATTTAACAAGATCTAGGTAATTATAGATAATTTTGTGAGCTTATCTTTACTTCTAGAAAACATAAGTATTATGACTTATTGAGGGTAGATCTGTCATTTAACTGATAAAGATTGCTGTAGGATTTCTAGATGAACTGATTCATTTGCTTTAGTTTTAAAATATATTTTTTTCACAATGTTCTTAGTTCTTCTAGATTTTTATTTGAGCAGTTTCCCTATAAACCTCTTCCAGTAACACCAAATACCCTTTCAATGTTTAGTTAAGTTTCCCCAAGATTTTTCAATTGGGAACCTAATGCTCTGAGAATATAACCACTGTATCCTATCCTAATGTCAACAGGAGCAAGAACTTCCTCTTAGGAAAATGGTAAATATAGTCCCTTGTTCATAATACCCACTTCAAACCAGGAATCAGAAGGCCAAAGCATTACAGCATGTTTGTTTAAATGTGTTCCGTTCCAATAACTAAACCACTTCTCCTCCCAAAAGTCCACAGTTTACAATTTCAGGGAGCAAGAAGGTGAATGAAGTAAAAAAATACCTGTCATTTCTTTCAATGAAAAAATTTCCCAATCCAGTCATAAACCTACTTTATTTTGGGAAATATGAAAGTGATAATCTAAAAAGGTAAACTGAACTAGTTGCTCAAGTCATCTGAAAGGTAAAACTATACTGATGATATGTGAATAATGCCAATCAAGACAGAAAAGTGGCATGCTGGATCCCTCAAAATATTTTTTGGTGTGTGTATGTGAGAGAAATAAAACTCAATAATCAGGGACTGATCTATCGTAGTAAGTAGTAATCTTTTTCATTCTTCCTATCAGGATAGAAGTGGCTACCTACATCTGACAGGTGCATTACTTGTAGAAATGCAGGCTTCAGGGCCTCCCCTGGTGGCGCAGGCCGGTGAGCGCCTCACTGTGAAGCTGTCCGCAGCCTCTGCAAGGCCGGTTTGATCCTGGCCGGCTAGCGAGGGTCCCACATGACGCGGCAGACCTCTCCTGTCTCACCCGCTGCTCCCCTCAGCAGTGTATTTCAGTAGAACTGCCTGTTTTGTTCCGCTTTCTGTCTCTGGTGAATCCTCTCACCCTCCCGTGCATCTGGCTTGTACCCCAGTTCTTGTGTAAAATGAATAAATAAATCTTTAAAAAAAAAAGAAATGCAGGCTTCAGCATAAAGTGAAATATAAAATGATAATAATTCTGCAAGGCGTAACAGATATGTACTGATAAAGAGGGGTAGATTAAGAAATATAGGGCTAGAATCAACAGTAAAATAATTGTGAGGTAAAATAAGAGTAAGGCTCACTGTCTTGGGAAAATGGCATAAATAATAGGGAGGAACAGAACAGAAGTTTGAAAGTAGACTGGGACTACATGTTTCACTGCTTTTTAGGACAGAAAAAAATATTTTAAGGCTGCTTAAAGAGCAGAAACAGATGGAAAAATAGAACGAGCCCTTGAAACAAAATTAGCAAACAATGTAGAATAAGTACAAGGGTTTTAAAGTGAGCAATTTTAATTTAGTCCCAATAACTTGGGCCAGATTTTTTTTTTTTTTTAAGTATGGCTCTCATTTTCCTCTTTTATTAAGATGATACTAAATAGGAGCCTCTCTGGTGGTGCAAGGGGTTAAGATGCAGCTTATGAAGCTGTCCGCAGCCTCTGCAATGCAAGTTCTATCTCGGCTGGCTGGGGAGCAGCCCACATGGCGCAGCAGACCTCTCCTGACTGTCCTGCTACTCCCCTCAGCAGTGTATTTCAGTCAGTCTGCCTGTTCTGTTCTCTACTCTGTCTCTGGTGAATCCTCTCACCCCCCACACCTCTGGCCTGTACTCTAGCTGGTGTATGCAGAAATAAATAAATCTTTAAAAAAAAAAGATGATACTAAATAAAGGCACTGTCTCAATTTTTTTCTCAATGCTAACTACATTAAGGTTCGTGAATATACAAAATGACTAGCCAGTGTTGACTGCTGGAACTCTCTCTTTACCAACTAATTCTATTTCTTTACTATTATGCAAAGAATGCATTGAATGTGTGTAGCTATAGTGTAAATAATTTATTCTAACTAATGCTAGTTCACAATGTTTTTGGAAAGCTATGCTTTAATATGATTTTGCTGCTCTGTCATATTAGAAAGTCTACTGATACAAAGTCTTCAAACTAAAGTGCTAAAACACTGATAAATAGATGCTAAACTTTAGTAAACCTATGGAAGTCATACTAACAGTTTGTCAAATAAGACCATTTTTTATTTTTTATTTAAATTTTATTTTTATATTCCCCATAAAATTACAACCCCCTTATTTTGACCCCAATCACTCCTTTCCCTGCCCCCCACCCCCTATAGAGTGTCTCTGGTTCATAGTTGCTGATTTTGATATTTTCTTTCTTATATTCTTTTTCCTGGTCCCTTATTTTCTAGATTCCTCTATGAGTGAGACCATCTGGTATTTTTCTTTTTCTTTCTGACTAAATAAGACCATTTTTTAATAGGAATTTACAACTCAGAGAAATACCACTGTAGCATGGAATTGTAGAATGTTTCAGTTTACCAGACAGTGCTTTCCTCTAAGCTGGTATCTAAACTGGTTAAATCTACAAAAATTAACCAGAAGTTTAGTGACCATAGGATTAGGAAAGGGTAGACATTGTCTGATTAAATTTGTCTGATTCCAATGCATGAGATCTGACCAGAATTTTTGTAGGATTCCCCTCAGCTTGGATAAACATTTTTTAATGTGATTTTTTAAAATTTTATATATTTTACATCATTTTTCATTTTTGCAAAATGTATGCATTTTCATCTTGGTTATCTTCCCCATACAATTCCCACCCCCTTGTTTTGATCCTACTCCCTCCTTTGCCACCCACCCCCCTCCAGTGTGTCTCTGGTTTATAGTTGCTTGTTGATTTTGATTTTTACTTCATCATAATTAGTCTTTTCTGGAATTTAGAAAACCTTAATAAGGGACTTGGATAAACTTTAACTGACTGACCCTTCCTTTTCTTAAAGCATTTAACTTAGAAAAGGTTGAAATTCTACAATCTTTCCCTATTCCATTGGGATGTAAATCTTTTACAACCCCCAAGTGTTTTGATTAAAAGTTTTTTTTGGAAGTCTAACCAGCAGGACCTAGGTCTTTGTAGGGGCAGCAATGGACCACAGTGCAGGTTCTCTGATCCCATGCAGACCGAGTAAAGGAGGAGTCAGAGTCCTTAGTGGGTTTTTGCAGGTCTTTTATTGTGGTTCACCAGGCATATGGCAGGCAGGGGTGCTGGGGGGCCAGGAAGCTGGCAGGCCTCCCAGCCCCCAGCAGGTCTTCACTCTAGGTTCTCCGGCCTTCTCTCGGCTTCTGCTTCTCTTGCTTCTCTCTCGGCTTCCGATCGGCTTCTGCTACTGCTTTCTCGGCTTCTTGCATCCCTGTGAAGCCGCCCTTAAAAGCACAGTCTTAGCACAGGTGTACCCACTTCAGGTGCCGCCATCAGGCATGCATTCAGGATCACAGGGTTCCCTCATCTATCCTGATGGCGGGAGGGCAGAAAAGCCTGATACCTTTTACCTTACCCTACAGTCTTCTATCTCACAGCCTCTGTGGGCAGAGTAAGAGCCAATTAGCAAACAAAGATGGCTAATCTCTTTGACCAATGTCCCTACTAATGACCCTGTTCCTCCATTACTTTTCCACTAACTCATCCCAGGACTAAAAAAAACTTCCTTTTTTTATCTCAGCAGAGTTGAATTCAATCTTCCTTATCACAAAAGTCTTGAATAAAATCTCCATTGCTTATTTAATCCATATGTGCATTTTTTCTTTTACAGGTTTGAGAACTTCATATATGCAGTTTCATGTGCTGAGCACTCTCCCTTCCCTTGGTAAGGGTTTTAATACAATACTCCTGACCTGATTCTTTTTTTTTTTTTTTTTTTTACACCTTAAGTGTGTCTCCATGATTATATATATTTGAATCATCTGAGGAGTATTTAAGACTGTTGATAACTACACTTAACTATAGAATCTGACTTAATTGATCTAGGGTGGGGTTGGGTATTGCTGTTGTTTAAAATTGCCCCAAGTGATAGTAATTGACAAGACTGAGTACATTTCCCGAGGATATTTTTGTTCCCTTTTACACAAAACATCCCCAAACCTGTAAAATAAAAGATATTATTCCTCTCTACCAAATTAGAATTGCCTACAATTTTTGACATTCCTGGGCAGTATCTAAGTTATCTTGATTGTAGATTTGAGACTTTCCAAACTTTTCAATAACATTTATTGACATCTACTGTGGGAACAGATGCCATTGATTTTGCTCAGATTTTATTAGTTTATATGGTCAAAAACTACTTGACACTCTGAAATGTAGATAGTGGATAACCTAATTGACCCCCATCTTTATTTGACAATTTCTATTTATTTTTTTCAAAATTTCGTCAGAAGTGTTGTGTTCTCCACAACTCCTTTCTTTATCCAAATGTCACTCACAGAATCCAGCACTGCATCACCTGGGAACTAGAACCTGCAGAACAGAGGACACACCCACATGTACCTAATCAGAACGAGTACTTAACAAGATACCCAGGTTATTTTTATCAATCAACATTTGTGATGTCATTTTACTCTCAAATTGCTTTTTGACCACTCCTCTGTGCTTCCAGAACAGTTTCCTGGGAATCTGAGCTCTTACGGTGAGGACATGAGGAGAAGTAACTTGGCTTACTTGTTTGTCCCTCTTCCTGGAAGGTAAGTTTTTTCATAGTAGAAACTATTCGTCTTTGACGTTTACATTACTAGTATCTAGCACAATCCCTCTTTACTTAGCAGATATTCAACATAAATTGAAGAAATTAACTGCTTAGTCTTTCTATGGCTTAACCTTTAATTCCCGTTCTTTTTCGACCCCGTTTTTAATTTCGGTAATATATTGTATTACTTGAATGAAATATAAGCTGTTATTATCCTAACATAACATTTTATTTTTTAAACCACTACTCCATTATTTTATGTTGTGTCTTAGAGTACATGATAGAGAAAATTACAAATGCTATTGTTACTGAATGCGGGTCTCTGTTTCTTTGGCAAAAAAAAAAAAAAAAAGGAAACAAGCTTTTGGAAGAAAAGCATATAGTTTAGTTTGCCAATAAATTGAGGAGGGCAGCTGAGCAGTGTCTGAAAGACCCCTGTCTTGCTTTGACAGAATTCAGGGGTATTTATCCAGAGATAGAAGTAAGGAGGGCGATGGGCATGGGTCAGCGTCTCATCTGTCTGCCAAAAGCCTCTGGAGATTTTGGGGGAGATTTAGGTTGGCGTCCACTTGCTTTTACTAACACCTTATGGTTAGCAATCGTGGTGCTATTTTCTCAGCATCTTTTCCTTGAAGTATAAAAACAAGGTTGTTAAGCCTAGAGGGTTGTAAGGACAGGAATGACACAGTGCAGGTTTTCTGATCCAGCAGACCGGGTAAAGAAGGAGTCCTAGAGAGTCCTCGGTGCCTTTTGCAGGCTTTTTATTTAGATTTACCATGCATATGGCAGGCAGGGATGAGGGGGCAGGGAGACTGGCAGTCCTCCCAGCCCCCAGCAAATCCTCACTCTGTCTGGGCTCTCTGGCCTTCTCTCTGCTTCTCTTCTTCTCTCAGCTTCTCTGCTCCTGGTGGCATCCCTGTGACGCCACCCTTAAAAGCCCAGTCTTAGCCCAGGTGAATCCCATCTACCTATGCCCACACCCTACTCCAGGTGCCCTCCATCAGGCATGCATTTGGGACCACAGGGTTCTGTCATCTATCCTAATGGTGGGAGGGCAGAAAAGCCTGATGTTTTTTACCTTACCCTACAAGGGTAAATAAAGGAAATGGTAGAGTTTATCTGTTGGGGCAAGAGAGAGAGACAAATGTTTGATTACTGTAGCACTATTATTTTCATGCCACATTGTACACTAAAAATTTCCATGTGGCTTCTTACTTTTTAAAATCACGCTATTGCTTTCTACTTAATATTTTCTTTTTTTTTTTTTAAAGATTTATTTATTTTATGCAAGAACCGAGGAACAGGGCAGATGTGCGGGAGGGTGAGAGGATTCACCAGAGACAGAGCGGGGAACAGAACAGGCAGACTGATGAAACACTGCTGAGGGGAGCAGCAGGTGAGACAGGAGAGGTCTGCCGTGCCATGCGGGACCCTTGCTGGCCGGCCAGGATAGAACCAGCGCTGCAGAGGCAGCTTCACAGCGTGGTGCTCAACCGCCTGCGCCACCAGGGGAGGCCCGAAAGATTTTTTTAAAATTTGTTTTTACAAGAGCTGGGATACAGGCCAGAGGCGCCGGAGGGTGAGTGTTTTTCACTAAAGACAGAGCGGGGAACAGAACAGGCAGACTGAGTGAAATAACACTGCTGAGTGGAGCAGCGGGCAAGACAGGAAAGGTCTGCTGTGCCATGTAGTTGCTCCCTGGCCTGGCCGGGAATCAAACCCACACTGTGGAGGCTGCGGACAGCTTAACAGTGCTGCGCTCAACCAGCTATGCCACCAGGGAGGCCCTCTGCTTAATATTTTCAATGGACATTGTAGGTGATTTCCATTATAACCTCAGTCTCCTTTTCACTATGTTTAGTCGCAAAGGTCATGCCTTACTCCAACCAACTGGACTTGCTGATGTCTTTACTTTTCTTACAGTCCTATTTTGTTCAGAAACAATTACTATCTCCTAATGCCTCTTCTAAATAACAAATTAAAATCCTACCTATTTTATGACTCAAATGCAAACTCTGCTGTAGAACTTGCTCTTATAAATCTCAAGCGATACCTCTCTATTCTCCAAACTCCTATCTCTTGCTGTTGTTTTTTTCTACTACTAACATGCATTTATTGCATTCACCCTAAACCCAGATATAATTTGAAACTGGCCGTCTATAAGGTAAATGGAAGATATCAGTCTACCCCCACCTCCACCTCCACCATTAGCATCTATGATCTTCACCGGTGGTCTTATATGCAGGCTGATGGCAGCACCTGGAGCATGGTGTGGGCATACAGGAATGGGCCCACCTGAGCCAAGAGACTGAGCATATAAGGGCAGCCTGACAGAGGATGGTGGGGGGTGGCAGAAGACCATATGTCAGAATGTGGTTGTAGGGGCAGGAAAGGACAGAAGCAGGTTTTCTATGACCCGAGCAGATGGGTAAAGGAGGAGTCCTAGAGCCCTCAGTGGCTTTTCAGGGTTTTATTGGGATTTATTTTTTTTATCAGGTACATGGCCTGCCAGCCTCCCATCCACCGGCGAATCTTCACTTTTCCTGGACTCTGGCATTCTCTAGTGGCCTCTGCTTCTTGGCTAATTGTCTTGCCATCTCTCACTTGTTCTCCTTCCCATGCTTCTGCTCTCTGGCATCCCAGTGACGCCGCTCTTATAAGCCCTGTCTCAGCCCAGGTGTACCCATCTAGGTAGGCCCATATTCTACTCCAGGTGTCCGCCATCAGGCATGCAGTTAATCTAATGGCGGGAGGATGGAAAAGCCTGGTAAGTTTTTACTTACCCTACAGTGGTGGAGTGCACTGGAGAGTGGTGGAGAGAGTCAGAGAACAGCTAAGAGAGGAAAGAGGGTATAGGGATTCCCAGGGAGGCCCAAGTTGCTGTCTAGTTTCTGGCTAGTTTTCTCTCTAGTTGCTGGCTAGTTTTCCCTTTCCTGTGGGGATGATGCCAAGGCCTCCAAGTTTCTCTTTCAAGCTGCCTGAATCAGTGATGAATATATCCAGCCTGGGATAGTTGCAGAACAGTACCACACATTGAAGGAAAGGAAAAAAACAAAGAAAAAGGCAGATTGCTTCCTATAGGTGGGTGGCCATTTTAAAAATCAAGGGATCTTATGTAGAGGCTTTGTCTAGTCCAGCTGTAAGACAAGCAGTTTCCCTCACCCTCCTTTCAAATCTTAAAAGTTTGTATAGAGGTTTTAACTGTGTTAAATCATGTACACTGTCCAGATGGTCGTAGCAACACATTTTATCTCTGAGAACTGTCCTTGAGCAGCTCTGGAATGGGGAAATGTAGAGAAATGCACATTCCTGGGGATGAGGGATGCTCGTACTGATGGTGAGGAGTCTTTAATTACCCAGCTCCAGCTCCCAGGTAAACAGAGAGGAAAGATTCTCTTGATTTCCCTCCTCAATATGCTCTCATCTAGTTATATCTATCAATCTATAAACAAATTTAAGAACCAAACACAATTATCATTGTAATTATAACATTTTACAAATATTTTTATATTTAGAGACTTCCTCATGGGTGATGCTAAATTTCTTTCAATTTTATTGAAGATGCTTAATATACAAAAGTGGCACATATTTCAAGTATATATATTAGTGAGCTTTGATATATGTATATTTGCGATATTATCATCATAATCAATATTGTAAACCTATTCATCACCTCCTAAAGATCTTTTCTCTTGATCTTTTGTTTTTGGTGGTGACGTCAAAGTTAAAAAAAAAATAAGAATGGATGAATGGAACATTACACTGAAAATACTTCGGCACAGCAAAAGTAATAATAGTGTGAAAAGGTAACCTTTGGAATAGGAGAAAACAATTTTAAGTCAATATTTTTAAATCACATATCTGATAAAAATTAATTTAAAAATATATGAAGAAACTATAACTCAGTAGCAAAAATTAAAAAAAAAATTGTCAAGAACTTAAGACACTTCTCCAAGAAGACGTTTGAAGGCATATGAAGGGTTGCTTAATATCACCAATTATCAGATAAATGCAAATTTAAAGCCACAATGAGATACCTCAATCTTGTTAGGTTTATAAAAAAATAAGTAACAAATGTTGAGGGGCATGTGAAGAAATTGAAACCCCATTGGTGGGAATATAATTCAATATAGTAGCAATGGAAAACGGTATGGAAGTTGCTCAAAAAATAAAAACAGAATTAAACCATATGATCCAATGATCTCATTCCTAGATTCCTCAAACAGAAACTTGTTTCTGACCCACTGTCTATTTGGTATGGATTTTATTCTATATTTGGTCACTTCTATAGTAACTTATTCCAGGATTCTGTTCAAACGGTGCCTTATTAGTCTTGTTAGCAGGCAGATTAATGGGAACTGCAGGACCTCCAAACCTGCGTGCCTAAATGGGTTCTGCCATTTGCTACATAAGGTCAAAACATTCTCTTAGTGTGAAAGAACTTTAATAGGATGAGTGTGCATAGAGAAAAGAAAGAAAGGATAATAATTTCCCAGCGAAACACCCAAAGTTACCCATCCCCTTGTGGGTAAATGCCCAGCCAAACAGAATTGGCCAAAAGGGGGGCCACTTGCCACTAGTCTAAGCACCTCTTGGAGGGGAACCATAGGAAAGGTGCCCAAGAAGTTTGGGACAAATGGAGCAAAGTTAGAGCACAGCTCAAGGTAATAGCTGCCATAGTCAGCCTGACCATGGGTCTCTCACCCATGTCTCTTCCAAGTGTCGAAGCTCTATGGATCTCCTTCCATGTCCTCCAGGTCCCTGGTGCAAGACCAAAACTGAGAGGCAAGCACTCACTCCTACTCCTTCGTTTGCCTCTGCTCCATGTACCTCCTCCAAGTACTTTTGTCTCCTCTCCCCAGTTCTTTCTAGCTTACCTGCTCCACTCAGCTCCACACTTTTCTTAGACAGAGTCATGGAAACTCCCCTCTCTATAGAAATTGCACTGTTACAATCTTGCTCCCCTCACATAGCTCCTAACTTCTCATCTCCCATTATCCTTTTTAAGTGATTTGATGTAATTAATGTAACTTGAAATTTTATGATCGGTCTGTCTTCCCTAGAAAGTACATACATTGAGGGTAAGGACCTGGTCTATCTGGTTCACTAACTGAAACAGTTTTGGGAACATAGACTATCAATAGATTTCTGCATAATGAATGAAAGAATGAATGATGATCATATACATTTTCAAGTTTTGCAAATCTAGTTTTTCCATAACTATAATTTTAAGTTAGAGTTTGTATATCACCCATAATCCTGGATCCAAAACTGGAAATATGAAAAATTCTTCCTCTTCAATTTAATTTGACTAGGCACAAAGTCACTGGAATAATGAAAACCAGGGTGGAACCAAGAAGTTAAATTTATATGTGATACTTGAGGATCATAGGAGTTAGGGAAATAATCAGTGTCTCTCTTGCTCTCTTTTTCTCTCTTTCTTTCTGTCTCTCTCTCTCTCCCACTCCCCTCCCGCTCCCTCACTTTCCTTCCCTCCCTCTCCCTCTCTCCCTCCCTCCCTGCCCATAATCTCCTTTGTGATTGAGACATTTATTAAAGCAAAGTACAGGGTAAATCTACCCTTACAGGGAATCATGTTAAGACTGAGCATTGGTGTTTTAAGGTAATGGCTGAGTGGGTTTTTTTTTGTTTGTTTGTTTCTTTTTTGTTCATTTGTTTCATTTATTTATTTTTTGTGTGTGGGACCCTTGCCGGAGTTCGGGGAACAAACCAGCGCTGCAGAGGCTGCGGGCAGCCTCGCAGCCCAGAGCTCAACCTCTGCGCCACCAGGGGAGGCCCTGTTCATTTGTTTTAAAGATTTATTTATTTATGTATACAAGAACTGGGATACAGGCCAGCAGTGGGGGGGTGGGGAGAGGAAGGAGGTGAGAGGACTCACCAGAGACAGAGCAGGGAACAGAACAGGCAGACTGACGGAAATACACTGCTGAGGGGAGCAGCAGGCGAAACAGGAGAGGTCTGCTGTGCCATGTGGGTAGCCCCCTGGCTGGCTGGGGATTGAACTCGTGCTATAGAGTCTGCGGATAGTTTCACAGTGCTGTGCTTAACCCTTTGCACCAGCAGGAAGGCCCAGGGCTGAGTGTTTTGAATAGAGTCCCTGGGAGTAGAGGGTAAATACCAGAGATTTTCAGTTTTAACTCACCTAAACAGATTTCTATGGTTCATTATTTTCTTAATTTTTATTAGTTTGCCCTGTCAGAATACAAAATCTTTACTGCACAACTTCAAAAGCATCTACTAAAAGCAGAATGCTTTTTGAAGTTTTGATGAATTAAGGCTAAAATGATTCATGTGAGTTCTAACAATATGCGAGAGCATCAGTTATATATCCTTAACAATAGTTCTGGAAAAATGCATTGTCTTGAGTTGTTAGATATTGAGATGCTGGCAGTAAAATGTATTCAAGTGAATGTGGCACAAACACCATAAACTTATGGTCTAAATTGTTAATATTTAGAGTTGTTAATCCACAGATTAGAAATAAAGAAGTAAACCACAAATAATATACTTTTGGTGAACTGTAGGTAACATATGCATCATATCTAATTTCACACATTATAAATACCACTGGAATGCTTAAAAGAGCATTCTTGATAGTGTTTTCTTGATGGGTTTTTACTGAACTATAAAGGCAGTATCTAGAAGCTGAAACTCAATCCATACTTTGGTCTCATTTTAAGATTCTATAGGGAAGAAGTAATTGAATACTAACTTGTGTATTCTATCACTCTAATTATATAGGTGATTATAGTTCACTACATGTGTATACAGAAGAATGAAGAATTTTATGCATTGAAGTAATAAACAACTATAAAATATATTAGAATATCATGTCCTTGGTATGTCAGGACACCTGATGGGCCTCAATTTTCTGAAGTTTGGTAATTCTAACTCTCTTCCAGCTATGGGAATCTAATATTAAAAAAATAAACTGGTTTTAAAAAAATAAATGTGGGCTTCCCCTGGTGGCGCAGTGGTTGAGCTCTGGGCTGCAAAGCTGCCCGCAGCCTCTGCAGTGCCGGTTCAATCCCCGGCTGCCAGCGAGGGTCCCACATGTAGCACAGACCTCTCATGCAGCACCCGCTTCTCCCTCAGCAGTGTATTTTGTCAATCTGCCTGTTCTGTTCTCCACTCTGGCTCTGGTGAATTCTCTCACCCTCCCACACTTCCAACTGTACCCAGTGCTTTTATAAATAAATAAATAAATAAACAAACAAACAAATCTTAAAAAATAAAAATTAAAAAAAAAATGTGAGGTATTCTAATCCAGGGAGAGAGAGAGATGAAGGCATAAAACTAAAGAGGACTTGAAAATCAGATATCCTCATGTATTAAAGTACAATAATAAACACTCTAATTTCAGAATGTAAATTCACATGACCCCCACTAAGGGTTCTAAGAAAATTCTTTTGGCAATATATATGTCTTTAGAACTTCACACCTTAAGACAAACAAAGAAATGAAATTATGAAAAATAAATACCAACTGCAGAATAAAATATTAAATGATTATATGACAAGACACATAATACTTTCATGTCAGGAGAAAAAAAGAAAATAGAGGAAGAGTAGAAAGTTAGTAAAATGTCATTATTTTTGAATTTTAAGAATTCCACTAGTAGTTATACGAGCTTATCTGAATAATCCAAAATTAATGATGATGAATAAAAAGAGCAATGACAAGAGCATGGTTTATTTTATCTTATAGACTTGCATAATTATGTATAAATTTTAGACATGACTGACCAAGATAATGCCTTGAGAATCTAACCACTGAATGATAGTAGAAAAACATTCCTACAAACTACAATTCATAATTTATTCTCATTCACTCCAGATAATAAAAAACTTTGCAAATCCTTATTTAAAATAAATTGTCATGGGTGTTGTTTCCTGGCCTCATCATTTCCTCTAAGAGGCAAATATGTTACATTTAAATCTCAGCTAATTTGGAGATAGTTTCATAAATACTCTTTAAAAAAATAACTGTTCACATACCCTTAATATCTTTATATTCACTTTTTAGTTATCAAAACATTTTCCCACACTGATAGGCTCAGTGCCCATTGTTTATTAGTAGCCATAAGTTCTAATGCCTTTGTGGTATAATTGATGGTTGTCTAATACAGGGCAAAATAGAGTAGCCCCAATTAGTTCCAGAAGCCTATTCACTTCTATAGCTATAACTTCACTTTCTTTTGTCAGATGACATGGAACTTAGGCCAAAAGATTTCCAGCATTATGAAAAACATCTTTCATTAAAATGATGTTTCCAGTCTTAGAAGACAGGTCTCCAATAAGGTAAGATTTAATTGTCTGTGTGTGTCTGTTTTGGGATTAGATAGAAAGGAGGATCAAAGAAAGCTCCAGGATTAATGTTTTTTAATCTTTTATTGTTGTTTTGTTTATTGTCCTGAATTTCTACATATTTGACTTCAATAGGAAACATGTTTTCTGATTGCTGACAGAGAAATCAACAATTTGTTTTATCTATTTTATATGTTATGCCTTTGTTTCTGGTGAAAATATTTTCACTGTGTTTTTGCTGGAAAGTAGTGTATTTTTGTGCATGGTCATTTATTGAGGTGTCTTTAGGTTTTTGATACCAAAAACTCTAGCCCACTGAACTGTGAAGGTATTTCTTTTGTTTTTTAATTTATCTGGGTTTTAATCATAACACTGTATCACTGTCTGTTACCCATGATAAATAGCTCATAAAGTCAAAAGAAGGCTTTCTAATTTGTTTTTGATCTGGTTGCTATTTGTATTTGTTTTCAATTGAAATGGAAATCAGATAAATAAGAGTTACTTTCCTATTGGATTTTTTTAAACTTGTGATTTTTTCAATAGGTAATACAGATATTTTTCAAGTCAGAAGTTCCCGTGCTCAGGGAACTTATTCTATGTACCTTGTCCTATGGACCATTTGATCTGGCTGCTCAGTGATATCCTTTATTTCAGTGATATCCTTTACCATATCTTCTAATAAAATGATCAAGGTAGATAAGTGTTTTCTTGTGTTCTTTGAGCAAATCTAGTAAATCAGTTGAACCTGAGGAGCAAGGCATGGCAACCTCTAATTTGTAACCAAGTCTGACAGAAGTTGTGGGTAGGGATTTACTACTTTCAGTTGGCATCTGAAGTGTGTAAGCAACCTGGTGGGACTGACCCCTTACCCTGTGGAATTCCACGTTGGATTAAATAGCATACTCAGGTGGTATCATGAGAAATGCTTGGTGCAGAGGTAAAAACACTCACATGTTTGGTGACCAGAAATGTTAGAAGTGAATTTTTCTGTATGAGGAGTAAAAGAGACACATAGAAGAAAAAGATGATATTTTTAATACAGTTGTATAGCTTTGACTTTTTGTTATAATTTGCTGATTATTCATACTTTTTATTGATGGTAGCTCTTTTTATGACTTGTTTTTAACCCAATTAAGAATAACACTGCTATGCACAATCTTGTACAAGTCTCCAGGAGCATATTGCGAGTATATTTATCTAGGAAATATACTGAAGTATAGATTACTGAAAATAGAATCTGTGAATTTGCAATTCTACTATCTAATGTCAAAATGCTAGACCAACTATTCATGAAGGTTTACCTGTTTAATGTCTAACCGATAAGTGAAATTACCATATGACTTTATTTGTGTAGGGTGACATTTGGAAAGGGTGAAAGATATGGGAAGGGTGAAAAGATAATTCATTGTGCTTTTAATTTATATTTCCACAATTACTAAGTAAGTTGAATACATATTTACCATTATTGGACACATAGTTTCCATTGGAATGCTTGTTTTCTCCTCATTTAAGAAGTTCTATATACATTCAGAATGCCAATTCATTGTCAACAATATGGTAGTGGCAAGTATCTTTTTCCAGAAAGTGTTTCAAGTATGATTTGTCTTTTTATATGCAAGCATGACTTTGTAATTCTTTTAGAGATGATGGTTTATGGTATAATATTTTTTATGTTCAATGTAGTACATGTTATGCCTGTGTATTGTATAATTTATTTCATATATCTTGCTTATGAAATCCTTTCCTATTCTGAGGTCATGAAAATATTTTTCAGTATTTTTTCTAGTAGTGTGTAAGTTTGTCTTTTACATTAAATCTTTTATCTTTCTGGAACTGATTGCTGTTTATGGTGTGAGGTAGATACATCATTTATGTATACATACCATCTCTCATAGGGAAAAAAAATGAACCAATATCTGGTACTGCCACCTTAATCTTAGACTTCCCAGATTCTAAAACTATGGGAAATAATTTCTTGTTGTTTAGGATTCCACATCTGTAGTATTTTGCTATAGTAGCTCAACCAAACTAATCCACAGTGTTTTGAGATTATTTTAAGTAGTATTATGTTCACTATTACAATAATGCTACACTGTGCCAGGATATTCCTTAAATTACTGTTTTGTAATAAATCCTCTGGAATTGACTTAACAAGTCAAAGGACCATGTATATTTATACTTTGTGAAATATTTTGCTATATTATTGTCATAAGTAATTATATCATTATGCAATGTATCGGCAGTACTAGAATGTATCACTTGCTCATTAAATTCAGAGACTGTTATAATTCTTTTACTATGATAATGACAAAAATATGATGGCACCTTAGGACCTTAAGATTGTTTTGATTTTAAATTGAACAACTATATTCTTTTTTCAAAAGTACATGAGTAATTGGGCCTCCTTGGTGGCCTAGAGGTTAAGTCTCAGATCTGTAACTGCTATGGCAAAGAATATTTGGTTTTTAATTTTAGCAACTTTATTCAGATGTCATTTTATGTCATAAGGTGCACCTGTCTAAAGTATACAATTGAATGATTTTTAGTATATTTGTGAGAGGTATAGACATCACTGGAATCTAATTTTGACCCATATTCTTTTTTTTTTTTTGGTTTTTTTTTTTTTTTTGTAAAATTATATTTATTGAGTTAACATTTACTTACATCACAATTTATATCTTAGGGGTTTATGTATGTTACTTTACTAGACCCACTACCAAAGCCCCAGTAATCCTCCTTTGGACTTCACTTTCACTGTGCTTCTACCCCATCACATCGCCCTTTTGGTAGCTTTAGTCATAGTCCAATGTGCTCTTCCCACTCCTGTTTTCACCCCTCCCTCTTTCCAATCTTTCTCCCTCTCCCATCCTGGATGCCTCAAGTCTAAGGTCAAAGGTTTGTCTTTGTCTGACCTTTCCACATATAAGTGAAACCATCTGGTATTTATCTTTTCCTTTTTTGAGAATGATAGCATAATCCCTTCCAGCTCTATCCATGTTGCTACGAATGGCATATGTTTCCCTTTGACTGTATAGTCTTAAAGTTTAGTTGCTCCTTGATGCTGTGGATCTTAGTCTAAGATGTGTTCTTTGTTTCACAAACATAATTCTATGTATTTACATTTGTTGTGTCGTAAGAACATGTTTACAGTTTGCTTAGCAACAAATAATCTACTTTTATACATATAAATATTAATTCAAGGAAATAAGTCTTCCCAGTAACTTAAATGCCATTAGCTCAGGGAAAAAAAAAAAAACAAAACACAAAAAACAGAAGACAAATGGCTCTATTTTCAAGCACATATACACATGAAAAAACTATAATACATGCGTACTTTGTTAAACTACTTTATTATTTTTTAAGACTATTTTTATTTGTTTATGCATACAAGAACTGGGGTATAGGCCATAAGTGTTGGGGGTACGAGGATTCGAGGATTCACCAGAGACAGAGTGGGGAGCAGGACAGGTGATTTGACTGAAATACACTGCTGAGGGGAGCAGCGGGAGAGACAGGAGATGTCTGCTGCGCCATGTGGTTTGGCTCCCTGGGCGGGGATCAAACTCATGCTGTAGTGTCTGGCCATAGCTTGATAGTGCTGAGACTTAAACCCCTGCACCACTAGGGAGGCCCTAATAAACTACTTTAGAACAAAAATTTGTACAAAATACCTTACAGATAACCATAAATAACTGAAACTAAAAGTCAGTTTGTTCATCAGTGGGCATTTGGTCTCTTTTTATTACATAAGAAGAGATATTTTCTGAAATATGGCTTTTAAGGTTTCAAAACCAAACCAGCATGAATTGCGAAGAGCCAATTACTATAAAGCCACACAATCACATTTCTTTCATATTTTCATTCACCTATTTCTCCTGAGAGCAAAATAGATGTTGCTATTTGCTGAGAGTTTGTATCCATGAGGGAACTAGCTGTCAAAGTGTTCCTGTCACACTAATTTTAAATTCTGATGAATAGGCTGCTGTGGCAGGACCAGTATGCAACAGTTACTAACTACTCTGGCACAACTTGGGGGTAATCTTAAAGAAATTTGTGGATTTTACTAATTAATGGGAAAATACTAATATTTTTCTTTAGTTTGATTTACTTTAATAAACTAGTTAACTGTGGTACAATTCATTACTACAAATAATATCAATGAGCAACAATTCTATTTTAAAAAATACTAGTGTAATGTATTCCATAAATAGAAAAAAAGAAATAATGTACACCATGCACCAGTAAACTTGCATAATAGACAACAAACATATTTTCCCAAACTATTTTCTCAATGTTTTAGAAATCTCTTTCATGTGTCCATATAATCCACTAAAGCAATCAAGATGTAATCTGCCACTTACACCTGGATTCCCTCACTAGTTTTCTATAATCATTTGGTCTATAATACCTACTTCCACTGACATAGTCATTATGAGTTCAGTGACCTCCTAGGTACTAAATTCAAGAGAAGACATTTCAATCCCACTTTCCTTTAACATATATTTCCTAGGCCCTCCCGGTGGCGTGGTGGTTGAGTGCAGCGGTTGAGCACTGGGTTGCAAAGCTGCCCGCACCCTCTGCAGCGCAGGTTCGATCCCCAGCTGCCGGGTGAGGGTCCCACATGGCGCGCAGACCTCTCCTGCCACCCGCTGCTCCCCTCAGTGTACTTCATCATTCTGCCTGTTCTACTCTCCGCTCTGTCTCTGGTGAATTCTCTCACCCTCCCGTGCCTCTGACTGTACCCAGTGCTTGTATAAATAAATAAGTAAATAAATCTTTAAAAAAAAGCAAACATGTATTTCCTAACTCTGTTATTGAAATATGTGTATTTTGCCTATTTCCACTTTTGTTATTATTTTAGTCTAATTGTCACTTTTCCTCTCCAAATGCTATGAATTCCTCTTCATCCACTTGGAAGTAAAGGATATCCTAGAAGTTTCCTTGTCACTCTCTCTTCTTGATCTTTATTGTATGCCCCTAGTAATCTCATTCCC